GCGGGTTTCATGGCTGTTGCCAGTTACGGATCAGCATCAGAAGATTCTAGATGACAAAGATGTGTCATGTACAGTAAGTTGATAAGTAGATAATGACATGATCACATCTGGTGTTTGCACTCTTGAGTGTTTTACAGTAGAGAGCACTTACTACACTTATTACTAGGGATGTCCCGTTCCGATTTTAATATCGGACATCGGCCCGAAAACACTGTATCGGATTATATCTGACTGCATCACAAAGCTACGACATTAGCGGTACGTTCCGCTTTAAATTCCATTCCAGCAATTCTATCCAGCAGCGCCCAGATCCAGCAGCAAAGTCCGCGTGATCAGAACAATATGGGCTAGCAAAGTAGCAAGGAACAATGTCGGCCTTGTGGCTGTATTTTTTGTTAAAGTCCAAAAAAAAAAAAAAACAGTTTGGCTCAGTGCAGCACTTGTCATGCACAAGTTTCCCGTGGTGGAACCGAACCAGGGAAGATTAATACATCTAACCTCATTGTGCATTTGAAGCAGGATCACAAAATCAGGATTTTCACAGTGTGTGAACTTTATACTTTGGACACTCAGCTTATAGCAGTTGATCAGTGAACAATATTGTGTTTTTTTCCTCATGTCCCTAACCTCAGCTGTTCACATTTATGCAACCAAAGGTAAATAAAAATTGGTCAGTTTTTTATACTTACTATTGCTGGCTTTGGTTTTCTGTTTGAGTAATATCACTTGATCAAGCCTTTTATACATTCCACACCATGAAATAGGTACAAGTATGTATGATTTGTGCTGATATATCAGATTGATATCGGTATAGGTCAGTACTGAAGGCTGCAATATCGGTATCGCATCGGAGGTGAAAAAAATTGCATCGGGACATCCCTACTTATTATGGTAGTTTGCCTCCAGCAACTAGAGGATGTGTAGTTGTTTGCTGCCATGTTGTTAGTTTGCTGTAATCATTCCGAACGACTCATTAACAGAAGTAAAATGCCAGGATTGACTCATCATTCACCTCACACATACATTCCATTGTAATATTGAGTAGCTGGTAACTGGAAAAGCAGCTTGAGATAACTTCAGAGCAGATGTTTTACTTTTAAGTCACTGTTAGCAATGTCAGCTCAGCGTTAGCCTCTAGCCTTTTTTACCCGATAGAGTAAAACAAAAGGATACCGTGGCTTCTTGGGGTCACAAGAAATAACTTCTTGGTCACTCTTGTTGGCTTCGGTTCTTTAAACAAATATGGAGCTTTTTGCCTGCTGGTGTCGAATTACAAATGATGGTGCTGTAGCGTTAGCTTGCCAGACACATGGCAACCTCACAAACTCACAGGTTGTGATCAGTATTTATGTCCTTCTTTAGTTTTTTTTTTCTTTAAAGAAGAAAAACCAATGATTCCCCAGCCAGATGAATGAAACTGGTTTCAGTTCCTTCCAATATGGCTGATTAGACTGTTTTGTGATTATTTCATCGTAGAATTCTTTATTATTAGTTCAAATTGTTTTAATTATGAACTTAATAAGCTTAATGAACTGACCTGTATTGGAATGTTTATTATGTGAAGTGCCTTGAGACGACTCTTATCGTGATTTGGCGCTATATAAATAAACTTGAATTAAATTGAACTAAGAAATGAACTAGTTCAGTTTAAAATGAACTGAACTTGGAACTAGTTTGTTTTTTAAACAAACTTTCCAACATTGCAACAGCATTTATAAGCTCCTCGTCCATGTTTTGGCGGTTGGGTTTGTGCCGTAGAGCCACTCCACATTGCAATGTCTGTTTTAAAGCAATCCACAATGTAGTAAACAGCTGTGCCATGGTGCTTGAAATTGAACGGGCACCTAGCTTAAGCGCGTTTCTGGGGCATGGCGTTGCGCTCCCTTTGTAGCCACTCTCAATAACTATAATGGCTCCTTTTTTAAATGACGTGCGGGCGTGACGCGGCACAACGTTTCTGTGGCTTAAGATGCTGTTTTCTCAAAGGTTTTCACTAAAACAGACATGTCTACAGAGACAGAGAGCTAATGAGATTTTTTTTTGGATATGAACTCTTCTGAGACACACAAATGTCCATCTCCTGGGAGGAGACTGAGGAGAGAAGTGGCTCAGACAGACAAGAACCTCCCTGATTAAAGGATTTATTCCTCTGATTCCTTCTTTAGAGACTGCCTCCTCCTGGTGAAGGCACATTTAAACGCAGCCTTTTGTTTCAGAGTGCATCTGCCCTCTGCTTGACTTCTCCAAACACCACTGTGCCTCTGAGCTTTTGGCCAATATGGCAGCGCAAAAGAAAAACAACCCAATCTGTTATTTACATTGTGTGCTGCTATTTAAATGTCGCTGTAAATGTGAAGGTTGTGGTAGAGTTTAAGGATGCTGCTGAGCATGTTTCTTATAGCAGGAGGCTGCAGGGTTTCTGAGGAATGAGACAGATTACTCAACCACACAATCAAATTTGATGTGTGGAGGACTAGAATCACTTCTCTTCCTCTGAAATCTTCTGCACAGCAACAATTGCCCCTAAGACGTCTGTCTTTCCCATTACTCCAGCAAAATTTTGCATTTGTGAGTTTGTCTTGGTAAGCGCTGACATTGTTGCCATAGGCAACCACACTATCCTGATCAGCTCTCTGGTGCCTCTCTCTCTATAAAAAGGTTTCTTTATTTATTTATTTGGTTTGTTAATCTGTGTGGAAATAAAACAGCATCTGGGAAACAGCCCACCCACCTCGATCCTCCTGCTATTTTGTGGCGAGCGAGGGAGTCAGCCTCCTGCTGCTGCTAGTTTACCTGACAAACAACAAAACACCATTATCTCATGGCTGCCATCCGAAAACTGGATCTACGGTCTGCTGTAACATTATGTAACGTCAAACAAGTTGTCCCCCGACCTGAAACGAAAGCCTCACTTCCTCAGTAATAAAACGCGTCTGACTGAATCACTCAAGCTGCAAATACATAAGAAAAATAAGGTATTATCATTCTGAATTCATTATTAAATTTCCTTTTCTGCAGGTTTCTTCTGTTCCAAAGGCCTTCATGTAAAACATTAACTAAATATAGTGATGAACTCAGCCTGTAGCGAGACGTGGACTCTGTTGCACCTCTTTGTCCCATTCACTGCTTTCATGCTAAAAGCTCCAAAGGGCATCACAATATTAATGGCTGCAACCTCGTGCACCAGCCAGCTGGCTCCCGTTTCTGACCCACAGTCATTTCTTCCCTCGGAGCTTGTGATATCAGCGGCTAAGTATGAAAGACGTGTGTGTCTGTGTGCGCTCTGATGAGCGCCCGGGCTAATCAATCCCTGTCCAGACCAGTGATTCCCCATTAAAGGAAGTTAGCTGTCAAAACACGTTGAACGATGGATCAGAGGATAGATATTTTTAAGAAACACACCAGCCTCCTGCAGAGGGTTACGCAATTCAGTTGGTTTTAGTCGCCAGCTTTGTTTTACGAACGTTTTAGGGAAACTATGGGTTCCACACACGCATAATGCTTGTTTTTGTGACTAGAAATAGCTTCACCCATTAAAAATGATTTTTCACAGAGCAATATGCTCAGCAGTTGTGTACCTATATTCCCCCTTCCAGTTACAAGGCCTTTGAATGAACGCTAACTGACACTTTGTGTATAAATACACGAGGTTGATGCTCATTATCGCCACAGAGCTGCTGCTGACAAACCATTTTGAACCACCCACACAGTGTATCAAAGCAGTAACAGGGCTTGGAGGTAGGCCCGAGTTTAACACAGGAGGAACAAAGCTGCCTAAACAACTTTGGTCAAGAAGACTCGAACTTTGTTTGGCAAGGAGGCGGACGAGTTTGTCTTCAACAAAAGGAGAACAAATGACGAAACGCTGGAAATGAACGCTAGAGCAAGCCTTTTGCTCCTGACAAACATCTGAGGGTGCTGTGAAGGCAGGAGATGGTGAAGGGAGGCGTTCCATTTCTTTGAGCTAAATAGAGTGGGTTTGTCTATACGATCCATGAAGCTAGGCTAAATAGCATCGTGCTGGCTTCACGTTCTTGGTGGCAACAGGAAGAGAGGGGGAAGTGAAGCAGTGCTAACTCCTAATCAGGGATGGGGACATAATTAGCAGTACAGGATGCAGGGATGTTGGTGCTTCACTGGCAGCCACATCCTATTATGAAAGGGAAAAAAATCACAGGTTCTATTCATTCCTATTCCTGATCATTTTTTGCATGGCGCTGGCATTAAAAATGCCAGTGAGTTGATGACTCATAAGTGAGATTAGAAACCCCAAATGACCGTTCCTGTGACACATCACTTCTGTGTCACATTTGAAAAGTCACGTTTCTGATCTGCTGTTCCTCCACCAGTGGTCTGAGATGTTCCTAATGGAGACAGATCTCCTGGGAACAGATCTGTAGGGCGCAGGGAGAGAGTTATCAGCCCAAGCAGTGGAATCAGAGTTGGCCCGCTCACACTTGCCTTTCAGAGGGAAAATGAAATGAGACGCGTTTGTTTATTCTGTATAACTAAAATACAAACTGCTTTAAGTCTGCTTGAGTTATTTCTACGTCTAACATTTAAAATCAATGAAATTTATAAATGTATTGGTATTAAAAACTGATGTTTGGATGACAGTAAAAGTTAAAAATTGATCTGTATTTGCTTGGTCATCATTTCCCCAGGAACATTAACTTCATATACATATTTCTGAGAATTCATAAAGAACCAAACACAACTAAACAACAACCACTCACTGTAAGCAACACCTAAACTTAGATTCATATGAATCACACCAAGCTGTTGCCTCCACCCCCACTCCCATCTTCGTTTCACATCATACATGACTGCACAACTTGCTGCCTCAAAGGACCAACAAGCCAACATTTTTCTGAGCCCCTGGTCCAACATGTGAGTCTCAGAGTTGCTCTCGAGTTCACGCCTTCAAACATACAAAACGTTCCAGCGAAGCACATTTACAGACAGGCACACACAGAGATAGCAGCATCAGCTGGACTCACCCTGACAGCTTAGGCATCTTCACAAAGCTAAACACATCCATGTGTGCAGCAGACTGCAGTCAAGGCTACACACTCAAAATCGATTTCACTCCGGCTCCATTGTCCTGCACTGTTTTCTGCAATGAGGGGTAAGTCACAGAGGGAAAAAGTGGAGCTTCCACAAGTCAGGTGGAGAGATTAGTCCTGTTTTCTGAGCCTCTGCATGGCTGAGTGATTGCTGTGTCCTCGCATCAGCAGCAGAAATCCACAGCCCATGGAAAAGGATCTGGCAGCGCAGCCTCCCTCCTGGTTACATCCTTCAAAGCACGCCTCTGTTAGCAGCGTTAAGCCACCTTCATTTAATTTCCATCACGGTGGAATGATGAGCGGGAGCCGCGCAGTAACAACGGCTTTGGAGGGATGCAGGGAGAGTCGGAGTGAAAGGGAGGGAGGGACATGGGTGGCGATGCTGGTGGGAGATGAAAGTGGAGGAGAGAGAATTTTTTTTGCTTGTGCGTGTGTGTGTGTGTGTGTGTGTGTGTGTGTGTGTGTGTGTGTGTGTGTGTGCCAAAGGTGCAATATTTGCAAACAAGACTTGCAGCCAGCTTCCAGGATTTTCCCAAAAATCCTTCATCAGTTGTCAGGGATGTAGTCTGATTTCAGAATGTGAAAAAGTGTGGAAAGAACAAGAAGATTGAGATGAAAAATATAAAATGTGCTTTCAAATAAAACGGAGAAGCAACAAGAGCAGCTGTTGGGATATGAGGACCATAATGTGCTCCCCGCCCAGCTGAGGTCCCTGCCTCACAGCTGCATGTCGGGCCGAACGAGCCATACAGTACATTTGTTATGACCTTTCAAAAGAGATCAGCTGCTAAATGCTCTCTCTCTCTCTCTCTCTCTCTCTCTCTCTCTCTCTCTCTCTCTCTCTCTCTCTCGCTCTCTCTCTCTCTCTCTCTCTCTCTCTCTCGCTCTCTCAAAGGTGCCAGGCAAAAAATAATAATAATAATAATAATTAGCAAACTGCTCGACACAAACAGCATACATTTAATGTTTATTCAACTGCACGAAAACCAAAGCTCACTTCAGACATTTTTAAGTGAAGTTCTTGGGAAACCTTTTGAGCAGTAAAGGTGTGATCTGCCATAGATACCTGAACTACCTCCTTTAAACCTCCTCAGCTTGGAGAAATAGAGTGGCTTGACAAGATAATGACTAATCTGAGCGAAACCAAAGTAGAAACTGCCTCTTTAAAACAACTCAAATCTCAAACAAGCACTACTTTATACACCTTTACACAATACATAATCATTTAGGACAAAAACACGCTTTTTACACACCAAGCTGCAGAACTGTTGTTGCGATGTGTACATGTCACTAACCACAGCATCTAACGAGGGCGTATACTCATTTGGGATTCAATAAATCTGCTGTGGCTTCTAGTATGAATGAATGAGTGCCTTGTGAGTCACTTTCTGCAGGAAAAATGCTCTGGCGCATCTATTTCAGGAAATAGAAGTTAATCTGAGAAGTGGGAGGCAGAAAACGGCAAGATTTGGAGTTTTACTCATTAATATTCATGACATCTGGCGTCTGATTGGCTAACAGCAATGCGACTCTTCTGCTGCCTCTGTTCACTCTTCTTTCTTAGGTAAAAAAAATGCAATGTTGATGTTTTATCTCCACAACTAATTCAAGCCTGAAGGAGTTCTGCTGTGTTGTGGAGTTGCTAACGCTAACAGTTATCTTCTATTAGCCGAGACGCGCTCTGCTCTCTCCTGGATGCTGAATCAACAACAGCCTTCTGCAGTCACAACTGAAGGTGGGTGAGGCTATGACTGGGAGTTTACAGCATGATGTAGATCTGTCTGGGTTTTTCTGAACCCACAGTTTCCTCAAAGTGACCAATCGTGTTTCAAAAATTATTTTAAGATTGAAAATGTGCGCTGCAGTAGAACTTTTCTTCCTAATTAACACCCATTGATCTGAGTTTATGCAGTAATGCATGTCTAAAAGAAAGTGTTTGTTAAAAACTAGCATCTACTTTCTTTTCTGACGATTTTGTGAGTGAACTTTCTCTCAAATCTGAAGCATTTAATTGAATTCTATCTCACGGCACGTGTCAAATGCTAACGATTTGGAAATCAGAATAATAAGTTGATAAGCAGTCTCAACTCCAGACGAGGAATCATCGCAGGTCCGCGGCTTTGAAGAGGAAGAATCGCCCCTCATAAATTAAACACCAAAGATGTGCCACCCCGTCAGAAACCACAGAGAGCCAATTAACCTCATCTCTGATCCACGGAGGCTTCGTACTTCTTCGTGTGGCTGAGACTGTTTGAATAAAAGGTAATCAAACACTTCACTCTGATATCCTGAAGGAAGAGAAGCACGCAGCTACAAAAGCATTCTCTCCACCTGTCAAAGGATTTGTTTGAATTCTCACAAGTGGAATTTAATAATAGAAAAAAACAACCTGTAAAGCTAGCGGGAAACCTCCTGTCTACTGAAATTTTATTGGAGTCTCAGGAGATAATAGGAAACGGTTCAAATCAATAAAAAAAACCTCTGCCGGATGAAATTACATGAAATACAAATAATTTAAGGGATTTCAAAGCATCTCGGTGGCAGCCATGTTCTGTTAAAATGCCACAACATGTACGGTTCTGGGTGAGTCATTGTGCCTTTGCTGAGAGTGATACACAGAATAATGTTGTCACTTCCACTCAGGGTCAACCTTAGATTTGTTCGCAGCCGTTGAAGAGCTGCAGATTAATGGCCTAAATTTGTGAAGCCCGTTGATGCATTTAAAAAAAAATGCAGACGGAAGCATTATGTTAATCACTTCCTAAAAACAAAACAGCACAGTGATAACCAATGAGCGGAAGGACCCGAGCTGCATGGAGAACATGGCGGATGCACGGTATGGAGGAACGTGTCAGAGGATTTGCATCAAATGCAAACGTTTGGCTGCGGGAGGATTGAGAGACTCGTGTATTCTGGATGGTTACGTTAGTCCATTTGGGATATTAGGGTCAGACAGAAGCATGATCCAAGGCGACTCTGGCTGAAGCCGTGAGTGATAAAACCCTGATGATCTCACCTCGCCCGTTAAAAACAGCTGATTTCAGTCATTCTGGAACACTTGGTACTTCAAAACTCAGCAGAGCTGAAATTGTGCAAGTGCTGCTCTTGGATCATGTTGCACGTACGCCTTAAAAAATAATAAGCAGAAGATGAACCCTTAGTGGAGGTGAAAAAAATCTAAATGATTAGTAAAGGAAGTGAGATTAAATTTTCATTAGACTTTTCTTCATACGAAATCCTAGACTGCACAGTTTAGCTATAATTTAGATTTAGTGGCTCCTGACTGCCCCCTCTTCTATTTTCCTGGGTTTTTTCCTTGTGAACCTTTATCTTCCTACGATCCACCTCAGCAGCTCTGCTTTCCTCCAGTCTCCCAGTGCAGCACCAATCATCCCTCGGCTGTGGCTGATTTATTCTGCAAATTAAACAACTTTAGAAGAAAATTTAGAGTTTGTGGCTAAGTGGGATGAGACGTCCTACCTGGCTGAGGTTATGGGTTTGAACTTGAAGATTCGGTGGACCTGCTTGTTGCGGCTCATTTTGTGCAGAGTGAATAAAACCTCATAATGAGGAAACTCACCAAGATGCTTGACACCGTAGTAACCGTGTGCCCGGTAAATAACAATGCCCAGGAGGGTTATTGGCAGGTCATGTTTGCTACATCTATTTATCCATTCATCTCCTACCAACACACATTCAGCTCAAGATTACACCAGATATGATTTCTCCCATCATGCACTGTGTGAATAGTGAACATTAACCCATCCATTACAACTTTATGCATTGTTGCAATTAGCTTCACTCCTGCTTTAGAAACACTGGGATGCTGCATAAACTCAAAAAATAAATAAATAAATAAATAAATAAACAAATAAAATCTAGATTTGTGATATTTAATGAACTTCATACAAAATAATGAAAAATTAATAATTATATATTTTTAAATGTATATTTTCTGTAATTGACAGGTCAGTCCAACTATCTCTTGCTCCAGTGAGATGCTATCTTCTCCAGTTGAGATAATCAAGAAAGTGTTTATTTTTAAGTAATAAACAGAAGAAATATTTGGATGAGGTCATTATCTATCACTATTAAATTTTACATCAACATCAACATAGTTGATGTGATTATTTTAAAGATAAATTTGAGTTGATAAAAATCACTTTTTGCCCTTAAGTAGCAAAACTATTTTTCAATATTTCGATTCATGAGTCTGGTCCAAAAATCCATATTAAAGGGGACATATTATGACTTTTTTCTTAAGTTTTAACAGTAAATGACACAAAACCTGTTTTTGCTGACAATGATCTCTTTAAGCATTTTCAAACCAGTGTCACGATTTCCACCGCAGAACCAGATCAGTTATTCCGCCTAAGGCCCCAAAACGATTGCACCCACTGTGCATCGGCTTTCAGCTTCGTCCATTGTGTCGGGTTGGGATTAGAGATTCACATCGTCTTTTAATAGCATATGTGTGGAAGTTAAAAGAAAAGAACCTTAATCCCAGATGTGCTTATCTACCTCTTAGCTCTACAGTTCAACCCAGTCTGAACAGAAACTGTACATTTAAAATGTATGGCAAGCATTGTCACTGGAAATAAGAAATTAACAAACATTTTCAGTTGTATTATAGGACAATGTCTACCTTATAAAGTTCATCATATTGCACATAACCGTAACTTCTGAGTTTTAACCTTTAAACTTAATGCAACAGGAACAGAAAAGTAAGACATCAAAGGCAGGAAGCAAATGCAATAATAATAATAATAATAATAATAATAATAATAATAATAATTCAAACCCAAAAGCTGTCTCATTGGGCTGCAACTGGTTGGACTAATAAAAATGCTATAAAATGTGCAAGCTTTAAAGTAACAATAGGCATGTTTCCATTACCAGAACTCCAGGAAAGTTCCTGGGATGGGGAACTTGACTAGGAGATAGGATGTCCCGGTCCTCTTAGCTGTTGTGCCTCCATTCAAATCCAGCCCTTTCAGAAGTTGCACAGCCAGTATATCACGGCTGCTTTGGCAGTGAGTGATCTCACTGATCAGCACAAGCGCCCAGAGTAACATTAATATTATTAAAAACATTTCTTTTATAGAGGGATACCCGGTAACACTTCACAATAAGGTATGCAAAATTGGGCTCCATTACTAGGGAACGACTTAGGGAGTAATGAGTAATGAAGCAGGAAAGAATAGGCAGTTCAATTCAATTCAAAAATACTTTATTAATCCCAGAGGGAAATTAGAGTTTCAGTACACACAATTCTGAGATCAGACATACAAATATAGACACATGACAAGAATTGGTGACTGTGGTCATTCGCAACCCGAGTCGCGCTACCATAATAGATCAAGAGGGTTTATATGAGGATAGAGTCAGGGGGAGGGAAAAAAGGCACTTC